CAGACACAGGACAAGAACAGTGAACTGAGAAGAAAAATTAGAACTAGTCAACAGTTTTTACATTTGACACCATTACCAGCTTGACACTTTGAGCAACATTTTCTGTCTTTTTTTTGCACTGACATCGATTCGTGCTGCCATGATTAGCACGTTTACATGTATCAACCGATTTGAAACTTGTGTAAAGTTGACATGCTTGTATGAAAGTAATGGAAGACAATGAATTGGTGCTGAGAGCACGTAATGCCGCGAAATTTGACGTCGTAAGATCGAGAAACACCATTGCTTGAAAACGTTTTTTATTATACCATTCTTGGTAGCAACCGTGTACCATGTCTCTCCATTTTTAGCATGTGACCAACAACATTACATGGCAATATTGTCGAAGAAGTATTTGTGCGATCCATATCACATACTTTCAAGCCAACAACGTCACCGATAATATATGTTCGTAGCCGTTTAGCCGACCGATTTGAATCAGTGTCCAAGTCAACAACACTACCACCAACGAGTTCCTCGTGATCGATATCGAAATCGTGGTGTGTGTCTTCTTCGTCATTCTGAATTGGATGATCTTTCTCATTACTTGCCTCTGCGACTTCGGAACATGCTAGTTCTCCACTACCATTGTTCACTTGAGTATTGTGAGTACCCACCGACTCAGATGCAATTTTATTAGTTATTTTGATCGCATCAAACACATCGGCTAGTAAATCTTCTTCGAATATCACTAGTCCGTTGTCCGGTTGCTTCTTGTCATTTGAATATTTGTTTTTCATTTGAGCTTCAATGCATTTCCAAGCATGTTCATCTAGTCGTGGTTGCTGTCCGAACACAATTTCAAAAGGTGTTTGCTTCGTAGTCCGTGCGACACTTGTGTTGATAGCGAACATTACCGGACTAAGTCCCATAGGCCAATCTGTTGTATTATTCGTATCTAACCATTTTCCGAGCAAATGCTACACGACAGCGTTGCTCCTCTCGACCAGTCCCTATGATTGAGGATGCCGATGTCGCCCGTTTATTATCAGCAAGCCCGGTCACGTTTTTGTCAGATCGACGATCACCTTAGCCACGAACTCGCGACCATTATCCGACTGCAATATTCTTGGCGGTCCAAATTGATGAAAAATAGATCTCAATGTTTCTCCGACATTGACGGCTTCTTTTGAAGTCAGTGGACGAAGCCAAGAATATTTCGAAAAATGATTCTTTGCATGGAATATCCACTTGAAACCATTGTATTCAGCACTTCTCATATCGATTAAATCGATTTGCATCCTGGTCATGAAGCCAACCGAGATTATTGACTTTCCAACTACTAGCTTTGGAAAATCTTTTCGGGTAACAACACAATGGTCGCACAAACCAATAAAAATTTGAACAGTTTCGAGTGGCACGTAAGAATAGCGATGTCGAATCTAAAAGACAGAAAATCAATCGACGAGGTAGTCACTAATTCAACCTTACTTCGTGCCATGTTTTGTCTCTGCCCAAATGTCCAACAGCCGTGTGACATTCATTGATTTTTTCAAACAAATTTTCGGATGTTACAACAGGTAGTTTCTCTTTCGACGAGTACAGAATCTCTTGATCGCCTATTTTGACCAAACGGAAGCGCTGTTTCGCCCAGAATTTGAATTGCGCTAGGTATTTTCCTTCTGTTCCTTCCAAAAGTTCTACAACTTGATTGTATGTTTCAGTCTTGATCAAGTATTTTTCACGTTTTTTGCATTGAGCGATTCCATATACGCAATTACTTTCGTGTAAAACGCTTGCTCCATTGTTGAAACAAAATCTTTTAAATGATGAAATAGATCACGTCATGTATGTCCTGTGTCTT